TGTCCTCTTTGGGCTTTCCCTTCCAGGCTTCCCCTCAAGGATTTAAAACGCGTATACTAGGAAGAGGGTTCCACACTCTTATAAGGATTGTTTCGTTCCCCTCTCCAACCAATGTGGGATTTCACAATCCACCCCCCTTGGGGGCCAGCGTCCTCGCTGGCACACTGCTCAGTGTCTGGCACTGATACCATTTGTAACGGCCCAAGCCCACCACTAGCAAATATTTTCCTCTTTGGGCTTCCTCTTCTAGGCTTCCCTTCAAGGTTTTAAAACACGTTTGTTAGAGAGAGATTTCCACACCGTTATAAGCAATACTTTGTTCCTCTCTCCAACCGACGTGGGATCTCACAATCCACCGCCCTTAGGGACTCAACGTCCTCGCTGGCACACCGCTCAGTGTCTGGATTTGATACCATTAATAACGGCCCAAGCCCACCGCTAGCAGATATTATCCTCTTTGGGCTTTCCCTTCCGGACTTCTTCTCAAGGTTTTAAAACATGTCTACTAGGGAGAGAATTTCACACTCTTAAAAGAAATGTTCCCCTCTCCAATCAATAAGATCTCACATCAACCATGTAAGAGCCTAAAGAAATGTTTGATCCAGATCCCTTGCCCTACTATCTACCTACCCTTCCTTGATTGCCCCTTGAACAGTGATACTCACACATGTAGATATTGACTCTATGTAGATGTACCCACTATGAAGCATTATCAAACACCGATGTCTCGCACCAGTATCCACTACCTTACACAATGTTACAAACCACTACAACCACAACATTCTTGATTATGACCTAGACTAAATTAATGCGGCATTACATAAATTTCTTGTGCCATCCAAGAAAGATTCAAAAATAGAAGAAACCCATATCCACAACAAGTAAAAATTACCTATAAATCCGCCATGGGCGCCAGTTCACAGCCCAGAGTATGAAAAACGAGGCGGAGCCCAGCACCGAGAAGAGCGACCCCGATATAACACACGCCAATACCACCTTATGTTCATCCCCTTCCATGGCGTCCTCCGACTAGCTACCCCGCATGCATCAAAACCGATATTCACTCCACTGAAAAAAAAAAAAAAAAAAAAAAAAAAAAAAAAAAAAAAAAAAAAAAAAAAAAAAAAAAAAAAAAAAAAAAAAAAAAAAAAAAAAAAAAAAAAAAAAAAAAAAAGCAAAAAACGATTAAACTCAAACCCATAGCTTCGTAAGTCACCCATGTGGGCAATGAAATGGATAATTACTACCTCTTTCACTGCAAGGGATTGAGACAGAAACAGCATGATTATGAAATTCAGCTAAAATGGGTCGTGTTCAAACATGGAATTTAGGGTTTGGGGAAGAGAAAATTTGGGCCTTAGCTCGGCATGTGAAGTAAAGCGTGAGAGAGAAAGAGAGGTGAAGAGCGAGAAAAGAAAAGTTGTTGCAATCAAAGTCAAAAAAGGAGAAATGAGAGGAAGATTAGAACAAATTTTAGGGTTTGTTGATTTGGTTTTATCTTGGTGATTTCAAAGATTTTCCATACCAACCCAACAAAGAAGATCAATCAAGCTTAACAAAACCCTACTGGTTCTCTCTGTACTTGGAACACTGAAGAGTGAAACAAACGGGAAATTTTTCTAGAGAGAGAAAATGAATAACAAAAAGAACAAAATAATTAAAATATTTAAAATATATTTAAAAATAAATAAATAAAAGATATCTCCATGCCGCATTTACGCCCACTCTCGGACAATCCGCGGGTAACACGCGTCAATATTCTTCCATACGTTGACTTGGTAAGACTTAATGGCTGCGTACGTGGCATGTTTTTATTGGAGACTGTTTCTTCACGCGCGTAAGAGTGGGATGAGGTAAGACAATGTCTGAATAGGAGAATTTTCTTCATTAAATTAAAAGACAAAAAGGGTATGAAATTGTCAATCATTTAGTTGAAAAGGGAGAAATATAATAAAATAGAAAAAGGTTTTTTTTTTTTTTTTTTTTTTAATTTGACAATTTTGACCTCTCTCTAACAAAGCAAACCAAGAGTCAACCTAAGTCCTTCACCAATTCAAATGTCGATCTTGTCATTTTCATCGTCATGTCATCGACATTTTAAACCTTACTTAAGAGGTAATTAATAAATTTTAATCGGTGAAATTAAGCATAGCTTCACGATAATAGACATTTGTTTCTTCTCGAGATCTAAGGTTCAAATTCTCATACCTTAAATTTGTTGTACTAAAAAAAAAAAAAAAAAATTAAATTACATCACAAATAGAATGGTCGGAGTTTCATACCTATGATTTTGTATAAATATAAATACTCTAACTATCGAGTTATGAGCAATATGATCTACCTAATATATTCGTCATTAAACACATATCATTTTACACTTAATTATTTATTACAAAAATAAATTATAAATTATTTTAAATGTCCGAATAAATATATGATAAACAATTTGAACATTAGATCAACTAGAAAGAATTCGTTTAAATAAAGGTGGCTCTAACAGCCTGTCCAGTCCGACAGTGACAGCATGGACTTGCTTCGTGGGCCCAACGAAGACAGTGGGCTGAATGCGCAGCCCAAAAAGGCTTTGGGCCCAATAAAGGTGCGATGGGTCGATAATAATACAAGGCCCATAGGCCCGTAATCACTTCACAGCGAGGACAATGTAGGAAGAAATTCTATTTCTATTTATTATTTTTCAAAATTTTAAATCCACTTTTAAACCACAATATAGAAGTTTGTGGCATTAAAAAATTATCGGAGGAGGACGTAGTAACTAACTTGGATTTAAAGGAAGAGATTTCCGCACTCTTATAAAAAATGTTTCGTTTTTCTCTCCAACTAATGTGGATCTCACAATTCACTCTCTTTGAAGCCCAGCATACTCACTAGCACTCGAGCCCCTCTCTAGTCAATGTGGGATCCCTTTCGAACTTCTCTTTAAGGTTTTTTAAACACGTTTGGCAGAGATAACTTTTCACATCCTTATAAAAGAATACTTAGTTTCTCTTTCCAACCGAAGTGAAGTCTCACAAAAAAAAATCTAACTCAACCAAATCTTTTATAGTTTGAGTGAGTCGAATTATCAGGTCATATGAACTCCGTGACATAAATAATATAATCTATAATGAATTAATTTATTTTGTTTGGTAAAAAACATATAAAAGGTATAATAAAAGCCACGTGAGAATCAAAATAAGATCTAGACTTAGATTGAAATTATTGTATTTTACAGAACTTTTTGGATTTGACTGACAAAAGTTCCAAACCTCAAAATCCAATTTAGATTTGGGCCTAAAAAATAATAATCAAGAAAGAGAGGGGTTGAATTAAAATAAAAAGCCAAACCTTTTTATTATTTGATTTATTTTTTAAAAGTTTTTTTCTTTTTCATCATATTTATATCATATTTTCTTTTCATTGAAAAGTCGAAGATTTTTCAAAATATTATAATGATAATCTTGAAAATATAAATAGATACTCTTTGAAACAATAAACCAAACTTCAATAAATAAATATATATATATATATATATATATTAAAATAAAATATTTATTTACTTTTCAACGTTCACATTTTGAGCTTTCCAAGGTTCAAAGAGAACATCAAGAAGTTAGTAGAAAGTGGAATGCCTCTAGATAAACAAATAAAATGAAATAAAATTATTATTATTATTATTGTTGTTCAAAAATATTTAATTTTAGTCCCTTTATTTTTTAAATGTTAAGGTGAAGTACACTTTTACCCTTGGAGATTTTTAATTAGTTTGATTTTGGATGATGAATATTTAAAATATTTAATTTCTATTTAGTCCATTATCCATTAAAATTTTAAGATTCAGAATTCCAACACTTGATAGAATGCCAACACAAGTCCTTCCAACATGTTTTGTCCTAATTTACGTGTATCTTAGAAAAATTCCTAAAAGATCACCCAACACGTAAAGCTCACTTAACTGTGAAGTTCTTATGATCGAGCCACAAAAATAAAAAGTGCACCTTATTAACATAGGTAGTGACTTTCAATTCTTTTAAGTCATTCTTAGCTATCATATTCTCAAGATTTTTCTCATTCAGATGTGGTATTGACTCATTCATGTACCTCTCCTTTATTCAAATGTCAAATTTAAAAGAGACACGTTGGGCTCGTGAGGTTCAGTTCTATTCCTTATAGTTTGATAAAACCCTAAAAAAATAATTACTACGGTAAAGACAAAAAATTTTATCCAATCTTATCCTTCATGTAATTTTACAAAACATTAACTATTGCTTTCATGCTTTCATGTGCAAGTAGTAGTAAAGGTAGGCAAATTGAGATTGGAGTGGGACAAGATAAGGTCCAAATGGCAGACAGACATGTCTATGGAAATGGAAAAGGTGACCTTCACTATCACAAAGCATGCACATCACTTACCATTTTCCTCCCAACTTTACAAGGGGCCCTTTCATATTTTTTTACAATATCATAAAAAGGGACAAAGATACTTCTCCAAGTCTTCATTGACATGGGAAGCATGGAGAGCAAACGAGATTAGCATCTCAAATCTGTACGTGGAAAGCTCTAAGCTATCTACTCATTGAACGAGACTAAGAACCCGACCTAACTTGTTATCGAAACAAAAGTGAATGAGACTCAATCGACCATAATGTTGATCGGTGGAAATTCAAAGAGTTAAGATACCACTAAAAGTGGAGAATCAAATCAAATTATTGCAAAGCCTTATCTCGATTTATGTTATTGTAAGAAGCTTTTTGTAATCATTCTAGACTTGTTTATTCTTCAATAATACAAAAGTTTCAAATTCTTTCCGGTATACCACTTGACCTAGACTCAATCGACCATAATGTTGATTAGTGGAAACAGTTAAAGATACCATGAAAAGTGGCGAATCAAATTAAACTATTGCACGGTCTTATCTCGACTCATGTTCTTATAAAAAACTTTTTACAATCATTCTTGAGAGTCGTCAAGACCTTATCTTTGAAACAATAGTCCTCACAATCTACAACAATCAAAATCCATTGATTCTTCATTAATAAAGCAACTCCAAAGAGAGGAGTATACTAAACAAACTAATAAAATACACACACATCATGAACTGATAGCCAAAAGGCCCTGTTTCTATCGGGCTTTTAAGAAACTTGGGGCCCTTACCCTACCCCTACCCCACCACTTACATGGCTACAGAATCTTTGTACATAAAAGACAATGACCCAGAGACCCAAAACTTTCCATCAGCAAGAAAATGACACATGCACCCCCCTAACACTAGCTCTAAGAGGTAGTAGTTTACAGAGAGAGAGAGAAGAAGAGTTTGGAGGGTAAAATGGGAATTTCACCTTCATTCATGGGCAATTGGGGTTTCTACCAGGGCCTCCATAGTAAAAGAAGTGGCCCCAATCCCCATTGCTTCCTGTTTGAACATCATAGCAATCAGGCTGCTCTGTGAATGTGCCAATGCCTTTTGGTGGTTTGAGATTGTTTGATGCATCAACAACTTGAATGTTTCTAAAATAGCTTGCTTTCCCAAATCCTTCATCTGGGAAATGGCCGCTCCCCATTTGTGTTGAAGTGTGCTGTCCATTTGGCTCGGAGTTTACCACTTCACCTCCCCACTCAATCATGGAGGCACTGTCTGCTAAATATGAGAATAGAAATGAAGGCCAATATCCCATTACGTAGCCATTGCCAAATTGCATCCACCAATGCCCCTCTTTTGGATCCTACATAAATCAATCAAATAAACCATTTCAGATCTGCAAAGCTCACAATTGAAGGACCTGAGAGTCAGTTGTACTCGGTTGTGGCATTTCGTCATGAGACGTGGTAGGGGAGATACACTACGAAAGGACCTGAGACTCGGTTGTACTCGGTTGTGGCGTCTTGTCAAGAGACGTTGTAGGGGAGATACACCCCGACTAATAAACGATGTGTTTGGTTGAGTTTTGATTACAACGAAAGAAAGTGTTTAAAACAACTTGCATACACTCTGACTAATCTATAGAAGGAGACGACAGTTCGACGGTCCCTCTAATTCCTAAAAGTATTCGTGTTTATGGTTAATCGTCCCTTTTTTCCCTTAGGCCAATCTGTCATGGTTAAGGCCAAAAGATTCTTAGCAGCATAAGAACAAAGCAATGCCACTTGTTTTTCGCCCCATTAGTGTCTCATTTTATTGTTGCAAGGTAACTATTGATGTGGCCAAAGAATTTGAAATGTGTATAGATATCAGCTGGGTTGGGACAACAACCATAAACTGATGCCCCCACATGCTTATCTATCATCGGTACTATCATTTTCATGGATATTGGATTTTTCTCCTTGTTTCAGAAACTCTCATGCTAATTCAAAAACTATAAAGGCCTGTTTCTGGCTGTTACCTTCCAGACAAGTATACTGATATCGTATTGCGAATTTCGGAACGCCGAGACTGGAGAAATGCTTGCTCCCATCGCGATATCGCTGTTGATTTGAATAAAGCCCGAGCAGAGGAGGTTGTAACAGCCTGTAGCTTGATATGCATCACTCTGAAGCAAACATTGGGAAGAAAGATTATTACGAAAACGCCTCTAACTTGAGCAAAAGAAACAGTAACGATCGAGTGTGTGGTCAGGCTCACCGTCCAGTATGTGAAGAGTCTCGTGTTGTTATCACCGTAGAGATTGGGACTGACCTGTTTGTGGAAGAACAAGAAGTTATGACACTTTCTGGTTTATAAAGTTCATGAAGATAATGAAAAGGATGAAACCTGCCAACCAGCTTCAATGCTATTAAGATCTTCACCAAAAGAGCCTCCCAATATCCAAATCTGTGATAAGCTAAACTCATTTGGCTGTTGAATGCTGGGCTCCCACACGTTCATAGTGGCTTTAGCTCCATAATACTTGTCTCCTTCTACATAAGCTATGGCATGCTAAACAAGCCAAAAAAGAAAATCAGAGCTGAATTGGATTACTTTAAGAGAAAAAGTGTGAGATCCCACATCGGTTGAGGAGAAACATTCTTTAGGGTGTGAAAACCTCTCCCTAGTGGACGCGTTTTAAAAACTTTGAGGGAAAGCCTATAAGAAAAAGTCCAAAGAGAACTATCTGCTAGCGGTGGGCTTGGACGGTTATAAATGGTATCAAAGCAAGACAACGGATGATGTGTCAGTGAGGAGGCTGAGTCCTAAAGGGGGTGGATTGGAGAAGGAATCGAGTGTCTACGAAGACATTGGACCTCGAAAGGGGGTGGATTGTGAGATCCTACATCGGTTGAAGAGGAGAACGAAACAGGGTGTGAAAACCTCTCACTAGCGGACGCATTTTAAAAACCTTGAGGGGAAGTTCGGAAGGGAAAGCCCCAGGAGGACAAAATCTGCTAACGATGGACTTGGGCTGTTACAAATGATATTAGAGCCAAACACCAAGCAATGTGTCAGCGAGGAGGCTGAGCTCAAAGTGGGTGGACACGAGGCAGTGTGCCAGCAAGGACATTGAACCCTAAAGGGGGTGGATTGGAGGGTTGGAGAAGGGAATGAGTGACAGAAAGGACGCTGGGCCTAAAAAGGGGTTGGATTCTGAGATCTCACCTCGGTTGGTGAGGAGAACGAAACATTCTTTAGGGTGTGAAAATCTCTCCCTAACAGAAAGCGGAGAAGCCAAAAGAAGACAATATCATCTAGCGGTGGGCTTGGGCGGTTACAAAAAGCGGAGAAATGGATGATTACCTGATGGCCACTTTGGTTGATGAGATCAGGCTCAGCAGATCTAGGGGGTATTGGGGCTGATCTGTGCTTTTTTCTTCCATATCTCTTCACTGAACTTGCTCTCAAAACATCCTCATGTTTGGTTCTTCTAATGGGGATGGTACCTTCAGGGCACTTTCCATTAACATGCCATAGTTGCTTAATTGGATTCGGTTTTTCACTGGCTTTCTCAGCTACTTTGCTCTCATCTAGCCATTCTGGATGAAAAGTTGGCCTCGTCTGATAGAACACATAGAACCAAGATGAACAAAAACTTATGGATCGAAGAGAAAATGAGAGAAAAATATGGTAATGAACTGATGAAACAAGAACAAACCTGGATTTTGTGGTCTTTAAGGAAAGGATGGTCAAATGCAGGTTGATGAGACATATGAACACAGTCAATTAGGTCCCCATCTGGGCTCTGGTTCAACCAATAGAACAAACATAAGAACAACATTGTATGGTGTTTGGCTCCTAAGAAAGTTAAGACAGAGATTTTAAGAGAAAGTGGAATATGTTCTTCCTTGTTTGGTTCCTTAGAAAACAGAGGAATCCAAACATTTTCCCGGAAAAAACAGAAACCCCATTCGAGTAGAAAAGGGAAGAAAGTGGAACATGTTCATCCTTGTTTGGCTCCCGAGAAAACAAAGGAATCCAAACATTTTCCCGGAAACCAAACAGAAACCCCATTTGAGTAGAAAAGGGAAGGAAGTGGACTATGTTCATCCTTGTTTGGTTCCCGAGAAAACAGAGGAATCCAAACAGACCGCCACTACAAGCAAACCCCATTTGAGTAGAAACGGGAAGAAAGTGGAATATGTTCATCCTTGTTTGGTTCCCAAGAAAACAAAGGAATCCAAACATTTTCCCGGAAACCAAACAGGCCGCAGTTACAAGCAAACCCCATTTGAGTAGAAAAGGGAAGAAAGTGGAATATGTTCGTCCTTGATTGGTTCCTGAGAAAACAGAGGAATCCAAACATTTTCCCGGAAACCAAACAGGCCGCAGTTACAAGCAAACCCCATTTGAGTAGAAAAGGGAAGAAAGTGGAATATGTTCATCCTTGTTTGGTTCCTGAGAAAACAGAGGAATCCAAACATTTTCCCGGAAAAAACAGATACCCCATTAGAGTAGAAAAGGGGAGAAAGTGGAACATGTTCATCCTTGTTTGGTTCCCAAGAAAACAAAGGAATCCAACCATTTCCACCCCATTTTCTAGCATTTTAGAAACAAAACAGAGCAAGATCCACTAAAACCAAACCCAAAATGAATACAGATTACAAACCTCGATGGTTTTAACAGCCGGCTTGTTCAAGCGCCTGAGGTGTTTTCGAACCTCAAGCTTCTGGCGGGAAGCAGATTCCATCCTCGCCGCACAGCACACAGAAACCAGCCCCAAAACACAAAAAATGGCGACCAGAGCTTCCATGGTCCTGCATCTGCTAAACCTAGCAGAACCCATCTCCAAAAACCCTCTTAAACTCACAAATCCACAGCAGTTTCCTCTACCACACCGCCACTAAAAACAAACCCAGAAGAACAATAAGAAGCTCACTCAAGAACAACAATGGCGGACGGCCACCAGGAAAGAAGAAAGGTGTAAAACCCACACGCGCACAACTCTCTAAAAAGCAATGAATTTCTCTCTCACAAAACTGCCCCACTTTCTTGTCATTTTCCCTCCGATTCGGATTGCGCTGTACAAATCATTTTCTTTTCAAATTTCGTAATGGGGAACTGATGATTTAGGACCAATGGATTTGCATGGTCAAATTTGGGAGAGGAAGATGAATGATTTTTGGATATTTTTCATTACGTTACATGATCATCAAGAGAGGGCTTACACATCTTTTTTCCTGACACCCATTAAATTTTAGCCATTGCGTTCCACTTTTTCATTATTTATTCCGTCAAATAAAAAGAGAAAAAGAGGAAAAAATTACCCTTTTTTTCCTTTTTCTTCTTTGTTTTTATCTGAGAATTGACTTCTTGTCATTAGTTTATAGCTCGTATTCTATTTAAACATAGCGGGTGAGTTCGCTTATCTCAAACTCGTGAACTTAGCCGATACAAAACTATATGATAGCACTCCATTTTTCCGATTCGGTAGTTCGATCTATGATTTAGCATTCATGGACATTGATAAGATCCTTCCATTTAGCAACACAAGATGACATAGCCTCAAAGTTAAGGACGAGGTTCAAACGAAAAGAGGTTTACGGTGGATACCTAGGCACCCAGAGACGAGATAAATAGCGTATCCATGTCACATAGGATATAGGATAATATCGAAGCAAAATAATTTTATATTGAGTAACCTTTTGAAAATAAACACGCTAAAAGAACAAACTATGAGTAAATAATGTAACCGTGTCACACGATTCACAATGTAGTATTTATTTTTTTTGAACCAAAATGATTAATAAATAACGCTAATATTAACTTTAACATACATTTATTAAAATTAATTAATTTCACAAGTTATATAATAAAAATAATTTAAAACATTCACGTCGGTAAACTTTATGTTATATTTTTATTTAACTCGCCGTTATATTAATTTTGTGATAAACTTTATATTATAATTTTTATTTAGCCTATTAGGTCTTTTTATGGAAGCATAATTCAAAATTTCCATAATATAATTAAATTATTTAATCCCACGATCCAAAAAAATTTAAAAGGCAAATAATTATGTCATGTCTTAGTGCAACTCATCATTCACCCTCTGATTTCCCACGGTCCTCCAATCTCAATGCATAAAGTGGGCCCCAATGTTACATTAAAGTCTTAATTTATATATTATATAGTTTATTTCATTTAATATTTTGTATATAATATGGTTTAAAATAAAAATAAAACAATATTAATTAATTTAAAATAATAAAAAAAATTTGAAAGCAAAATCAATGTGAATTTTTTTCCACTCAATGTATAGCCCGAGTGCGCCGTATTTACTTATATATCAATAAATCGTATTTATGCCTGATAATATTTGTGAGCTGAGTTAAAACGAATGGAGACATTTTCAGATCAAATCTAATTATTCTGAAGGTAAATTTTTGACTCAAATAATCTTATTAAATAATAAATTCAATTTATAATAATTTTTTTTGGTTAGTTCGTAAAATATTTATTTACTTATTTTTAAATATTTAATTATTAATAGACACTCGATTTTAATATATATTTTAAAAAGTTTTTTTTTTAAATGGTGGGATAATAAAATATAAATATATGTATATATATTTGTTTAGTAAATTAAATTTAAATTAATATGTGTTCACATTAGATAAAAAAAATTATAATTTTTTGAATAAATTTGTAATTAGTTTAAAAGAAAGCTACCAATTTAGTGGAAGAATAAATAGAATATTCCAAAAACGCATTTATAAAAAATTAACTTTAAAGAAAATAACGATATTAATTAAGAAACATTACCCCAACGGTAACGGACAAAACAAGGCTGGTGGGAAACAATAGGGGTAAATTCGTAATTTCCTAAATGGAGGACGAAAATTCCCATTTCCCGAAGAAAAAAAGAGAACAACAAAGTCATCGAACATGGAAAAGCATGTAGCCGTTACAATTTCTATTACCCTCGCTTCTTGGCGGGTCACCCGCAGGTCACGCTAAGTGCGTCACAGCAAAGTAGCTGAAAATTTGAAAAAATAATTTTATTGATAAAATATTAGTCTTTATAAATTGTAATTATATTTTTTAATCAGACAAGAGAAGACGACGATGTATTTACTCATAAGTAAGTGATATTTCAATTATTAATTTTTGGGAAAATAATAAAATATTTATTGTAAATTATGGAGTTCCATGGAAATTGGGTGGAAGAGACATTAATTAAATAAATGGGCCGAACAAAAATTGGCTGGTAGATGGGCTTGTATGGGTTGCAGAAATCAGCCCAAATAAAGAAATGGGCTGGCCCAACTAAAATAAATGGGCTGGCCCAGTTGAAATAAAATAACAAGAAATGAAAAATATACAAAACAAATATATATATTAGCCAAAATTATTAAAAAAAAAAACATTTTTTTTATTTTTAATTTCTTGTGTAGTTTAATTAAAAGCTTAAATGAGAATAGAACAAAAAGAGAAACTTCAAACTATAGGGGCAATTTTGTAATTTCAGCTGTTTTTAATTGATGGGTTGTTTTGTTTGTATGGATAATAATGTATTATGGATCCCTTTACACCTCAATGATTATTAACTAATCTAATTATGGTCCGCTCCATCGAGAGAGGTATCGACTTTAATGAAATAGTTTATGTTATCAATTCTTAATAATCACTTACACGATCGAACCAAACAAATCGTTAATAAATCTAAAAACGATATTGTTTTTTCAACCATAAAAAAAATAATAAAAACCCATGTGGAGTATATATCTGGTCACCCAAATAAATAATTTATTTTTAATTTTTTTTGTCAACCTACTAATAATAATAAAAAAAAATAATATTTTTATTGCTTAAAAATTTAAGAATATTAATGTTTGTTTATAAATATATATATATATATATTTTAAAATTTTAAAAGAATTTTTTAAGTTTTTAAAAGAATTTAAGGATATTGGTAAAAATTTAGAAGTTAAAATGTATTTTTAAAATATTTTTATTTATTTAACTTTTTAATTAAAACGATGCCATATATCACGAAAGTTGAAGACAAAGAATAATATCCAATTCAGAATAAAGTTAGATAAATTGAAGAATAATTTGGAGAGTTGATGATAACGACTGTGAATTCCAAATTGTGCGTTCGATCTCAGTTGCTACAATTCCAATCCAAATCCGCTTCCCATTTTTCTGCTACTTCAGAATCTCAGTTCCCCATCCAGTCACTTTCACTTTCTTTCCTCGCTCCTCGCCCTGTTCTTCAATTCGGGCAATGGTGGATGAAATTCCGATCAAGAGAAATAGGGTATGGCCGCACGTTTTTGATTTTCTCTGCATTACTATTCCATAATCATAAAGGTATCTTTCATGGGAATCAAAACAAGATCAATTATGGAACAACAGCCTTCCGCCCAACTTTAAAGGTTGCGTGGGACGATTCCCATTTCGTTTTCCCCTCTCATCCAAGGAATTTTCTGTTCTATCTTCTGTTTACTTGCCTTCTCCGATTGATCTTTCGTTGATCCTTATTTCGCATGATTTTCTTTGAAGCCATCTCTCGTCTGTGATTCCTCCCTTGCGGCAGGGGAGTTTGATTCTGTAACATTTGTTCACGTTTTGGACTCGGATTTCTTCATTTCCAGTTTTAGAGCTATGGATTATTATTAGTGTGGCTGGTGATTTCATTCAGATTCATGTTTCTGCTGGTTGTTGGTGAAATAATGGGCTAAGTTTACAAGTGATTAAGTAGTTAAGTAGTCGATTTTTGTTGTTTAAATTGATATTAATGAGGTTTTGGATGTGTAAGATTCACTGTCCTTCATCCCTTTGCCTTTGCCAACCTTCCCCTCATATACATTCCACTGGATCAGTATCATTAGATTTGCAAAACTCACCACATTTGCCTTCACGAGATGTGCCAGTCATCGGAACTTCTGGTTCCAGTGTTGAGACCCTTGAACCTAAGCGCGACAAAGTGCCGGAGAGTGAGTTTGGAAACAAGAGCAGTTTGAGGAAGCTGAATTCGCGGTCAGGTGTATCAAAGGAGAAGCATGTAAAAACTGTACAATGGATGGATTTTTCAGGCAAAGAACTTGCTGAGATCAGGGAATTTGAAGCTAGGTAATATCTCTTACCATTTAATCTCTCTCTTCTCATTTGAGACTTGAAGAGCCTGGAAGGAGTGGAGAAGGTGTGATCTCTGTTTTTAGCATCTCGTAAATCATGATCGAGGAGATCGAATATCATCCAAATAATTGAAATTCAGGGTCTTCCTTCTATTTAATTATTTGATTTTAGAATCTTTACATCTCATGAATTGAGTTTGAGAAGATTTAATGTCATCAAAATAATTGAAATGCTGTTTCTTTCATTGATTTATTATTTGATTAGATCTTGTATTAGTATGGAATTACCAAGTTACTTAAATATCAAGTTATACAATATAATCTGTTCATATTAACACAACATACTGAAACTTGATCGAATATTGGAGGTATGATGAAATAATATGTACTTAGAAGGATGGAACTGCAATTACATTTGATGCTTTAGATGTTCATACCAGTTTAAAGATATTTGAGATGATGCTTCATGTCCCTATTCCAAAATCTTTGAAGAGTTCATAAACTTACAGATGGGATTGGAATGCCCAAATTTGAGTTTTCTTCATGATGGCTGCTGTTTTCTTGTGAATGAACTATACATACTGACTACTGATCGTGTACGCGTGTGCGTGTACATATTTTTCTTATGCAACAGTGAAGATGAAGATTCGGATTATGAAGACGAGGATAACGGAAGCTGCATCTGTACTATTTTATGAAATTTCTCAGTAGCTTAGATTTTCAAATTTAAAAAAGAAGAGGAAGTAGCTAACGAAGCCCGCTTAATGTCGGTTACAATCATATTCGTCCTGAAAGGTCTTTGATGCTTCTTTGTTTTCATTTCTCAGATTAGAATATGTTGTGAGAATGAAAGGCAAAATGGAGCTTTATTTACCAATAATGTACCTAATTTATTTGTTTTATGAAAATGTTGTTAATTCTTCAACATGAACAAATTTCACTTTTCACTTGATTGGCAAAAGAATTCTCTGCTTTGTAAATTATATACTGAATGTTATCTCATGAGGCCACTACTTATACTCTAAGCTTCCATGATTGTCTAAATTATTGATGCATGCTGCCTGAGATATGAAATTTTGTTATATTGTTTTGCTGCATTTTAATGTTTCTAAAGTGCAGACTATTTGAACCAGAGCAGATTCCTACATATGGGATCATTGAAACTCATTGCCTTCGCCTTGTAGACCTTCGAAAGATGCGTCTACGTGGTGTTCGTGGACTAAAGTACCCAGAGATGTAAACGATTAGCACTGCAAACACAAAGCCAGCTGGGAACCCAATTCCTGCACCTATCCAGGAAAACACTTCTTGCTTTTCTTCCTCCTCAGCTTGTTTTGTCGGTTGCTCGTCTTCTGGACATGGCTGTTGGATTTGAATTCCACATAGCCCACTGTTGTTGGCATAATAGCTTGGAGTGTTCATGGTGTCCATCTGACCCCCAACTGGAATCTTGCCGCTAAGCTCGTTGTTACTCACGTCAAGAACCGTCAACTGTTGCAGCTTGATTAGTGATTCTGGGATCGAACCCGAGAGCTTGTTGTGAGACAAGTCCAAGGTCTCCACATTTTCCAAGTTCCCAAAACTTGATGGTATATGGCCAGATAGGTTGTTGTATGCCAGGTTGAGAAGCTTTATGCCCTTCAGATTACCAATTGATGCTGGAATCTCTCCACTAAAATGGTTCCCTGACAAGTCTAATAGTGAGTAGATGTCAAGACTGGGACGAGTTGCAAGACCTAAAGTTGACTTCTTCCAATTCACTATCAAGTCATTGAACTCAATAAAGATGTTGAAGAAGTTTTCAGAGAGAGACGAGGCCGTTCTCGGTGTCTCTACCATTCCCTTTAGTTCCCCTACCTCAGTTGGAATTTCTCCAACCAAATTGTTACTTGAGAGATCAAGGATGTGTAGGCTACTAAGCTTGGAGATTCCTTTTGGGATCAAACCCGCGAGGGAGTTATTTCTCAAACTCAGAACTTGAAGCGTGGGATTTTCGTAAAGAAAGTCGGGCAATTCACCAGAGATATTGTTGTTATGAAGATCAAGGTGTTTGAGGAATGTAAAGTTCGTTAAATTCTTGGGGAAGCTTCCAGAAAATCTGTTATTGCTTAATGAAAGAATCCTAGTTTGCTGAGGGAATGTTGTGGGAATTTCGCCTGAGAATTCATTTGAAGAGTAATCTATGTATGAAAGAAATGCACCTGGATCAAACACTGGGAATGTATCCCCTGATAGTCTGTTTGCTGACAAGTCCAACAGCAGTAGGCGATGAATCTTCGTGATCGATTTTGGAATACGACCCGAAAAATTGTTTCCAGACAACATTAGCAGCATAATAGAATTGGCATCACCCATGTTTTCAGGCAGTTCTCCAGAAAAGTTGTTCCTAGACAGCGCGAGAACAGACAGACTCAGTGACTCGAAGAGACGAGGAGGAAGAGAACCCGAAAGCTTGTTGTCTGAGAGAATTATGGAACCAACATTCATTTCAGCAAGCCATAAAGGAAAACTTCCTTCTAGTTTGTTTTCACTCAAGTCCAGGAAATTCAGACCCTTCTGCAAAGAAATCCATTCAGGGACCTCTCCTACAAGCCCACACGACTTCAACGACAGTCGAGAAAGCATGCACTTCGGTTTTAAGCTTGTAATGCTGCTATTCCAAGTCATCAAATTGCCTCCAATCAACAAATCTACAAGCCCTTTCATATCGAACAACAACCTCGGAATATACTGGCCAAGTAAGTTGTTTTGCAGTTCCAGCGTTTTCAAGTTTTCCATTTTCTGTATTGATGTTGGAATAGTTCCATTCAGTTTGTTATTGCTTAAAGCCAAATAAGTCAAGTTGGACAGAGTCCAAATATCTGAAGGTATCCCCATTGTGAACTGATTGTCCCTCATGTCTAGTACCTCCAAAGATTTCAGATTGACTATTGAAGCCGGGATTTGGCCGACAAATTTGTTGCTACGAATCGACAATTTCTGCAGCATTTTCAGGTCGCCAATCTCGTCGGGAAGTTTCCCTGTTAAAGAATTGCTATCCAACTTCAGAACTCTCAAGTTTCCAAGAAGCTTCACATCTGCAGTCAGAGCTCCACCGAGCAAATTGCTGCTCATGTCGAGCAATTGAAGGTATCGTAAACAATAGAACTGTGGAGGAATCGAGCCACTGAATTTATTCTGCATCAGATTAAGAGAAACCATCTTACTTAGATTACTAAACCCAGCTCCTGAGATTTGCCCTTCAAAGAAGTTGGAAGAAAGATCAAGTAACATCAAGCTTCTAATGGTGAAAAGTGGCACCAATGCTTTAGCATCAAGTGGCAATGGATCATCAGTAATCCTCAAAGCAAGAGAGTAAAGATTGAGACCTCGAACCGTCCTTGGGCGAGAATCCGGAGAAGAGCACACAACTCTGTCCCATTGGCAACAATCCGAAGTCGAGTTCCATGAATCCAAAGAAGAGAAGAGAGAGATGGAGGTGTTGGGAGAATTTGTAGTAGAGAGAAGGGAGGCTTTGAAGAGGAGGAGAGCTTGCTTTTGTTGATCGGGACACGATAAAATCTGAGTGACGAAGAAGAAGAAGAAGAAGAAGATATTGATTATGAGTCCGGTACGAACAGGTAGGAGACGGAGATCTGGCATGGATGCAGCAGAAGCAAGGTTCAAGTGAGAGGGAAGAGAAGATGAAATCCTGTGGAACATTTGAAATTCTGATATGTTCATAACTATATATATACAGAGGGGAGGGAACTAAAGTTGATGAGTGGTATCGAAGTCAATGGTCAAAAGTCAACGACCAGTGTTTGGGGGAAAATGTTGCCAAAAGACAATGTTGGGTGGAAAAAGGAGAGTATTTTCAGCTGATGTTAGTGGATGGACCCTCTAAAATGGGTGCATTTGGCCCATCATGAGCCTCGTGACCTCGTGACCGTAGATACGAACCTGATCTCCTAGTCAAAGGTACGCGGTTTAGCTAAATTCAACTTGACTCGAATTTGAATTTGTTGATATTATGGATTTAATTAAATAAGTAATTAACAACAAAAACAACTTAGTCAAATTTGGTGGCTTAATTAATATTATCACATCCTTCATTTCCTTATTTTAAAAGACGGAATAATTTCTAGGTAAAAGAAAGGGTGATTAAAAATATTTTTTTTTTTTTGTTGATTAAAATATCAAAGTCTAATTAACAAAATAAAAATAATTATAAAAAATTACAATATTTTTTATTTATTTATCAAAGAACCACTAATTTGTGGAAATTTATGATGTTGTGATAGGCATTGTTATTTGTTTATTCTGACAAGAAATCATGATGATATCTTCTGTGTTTATTGCTTGACCTTTTATTATTTAATTTTCCCTAAAAAAATATTTTTCTTCTCTAATTCTTCAGTCTTACCTTCAAATTACTCAATAAATGGAATTTAGTTGGAAATTTCTGGTCAAAATGATCAATTTGGAATAATATTTTTTTTTTTGGATGAGTTCAATTTTGAAAATGAGAAAATTAGTAATGATATTTGGGTTGAATTTCGATATTTACGTATTAGAAAATTTGAGAAATAAGTGGTTTTCTAAGCGTGTGGTGTAATTTAAATTCTTCACAAATTTTCATCATACATAAAAATGACTAAAATGCCCTCGCGACTAAAATGCCCTCGCACAATTTCCTTACCTGAGTGCGTAATTAACTAATTTTGAATATACATTTCTTTTTGGAAAGTGAGGACCATTTTCTCATAGTTTCTCCATTATTAACGCAAGTCTGTCAAGACAGAAAATCATATTCTATTATTACTGTATTTTAGATGAACTTTGGCCGATCGTTTCAATCTCGCCTTTCTTCTCTCAAACTAGACTTTTAAGTCTTACAATGCAATGTCCCATGTTCCAGTCTTTTCTTCTCTCAAACTAGACTTTTAAGTCTTACAATGCAATACAATGTCCCATGCTCTGACACTTTTGACTTCAAAGTTCTAATGATTGAGTCATCGAACATTGTAGTGCACTTTGTAGTTTTTATGATTCAATCATAAAAAAAAAAAAAAAAAAAATGCACATTGTTGATATAAGAAATAACTATCAATATAAATTAAGAATGCCGATCTTTTAATGAACTTTTCTACTAATTACTCTCGTTAAACGGAATCAATTTCATGGTTTTTGGGTACCCTGGTATTTTTTCTTCCATTTTTTTTCCTCGATTTTTTTGCATTACGTTTCGTTGATTTTTAATTTACTCTAACTTCCAAATTATTTAAGAACAAAAAGAGAAAAAACGAAATTGAATTTCTTGTACCAGCAAAAAGACTTAATTTTCAAAAACTATATAATTTTTCAAACACAGGTTGGATGATCTAATTATAAAATGAAACAATCAATATCGACTTACTTTTCAAGAAGGTTTTAAAAAAATTGAAAACTAATTGAAGTAATATTGTTTTTGAAATTATATATGTATACTGGTATAAAATAAAAACCTAAAAACAATTTTAATTAGAAAATAAAAATCCAAAACCATTATCAAATAGTCCCCGTCCAATTAAACAAGCTTTCTTTCTTCTTCTTTAGAGATTTAAACAAGCTTTCTTTCTTCTCTTCTTCTCAAGAGATTTGGTCCGTGATCCATGCCTTGACCTGTTGAGCTAAACTCGTGTTGGCCTAGAAAACAACCCGCTCTACTTGACCAATTGAGCTAAGCGCGTGTTGGCCTAGAAAATAACCCATTCTACTTGACCAATTGAGCTAAGCTCGTGTTGGCCTAGAAAATAACTTTTTCTACTTAACCAGTTGAACTAAACTCGTATTGGTTCTACTTGATCAATTAAGCTAAACTCATGTTAGCCTAGAAAACAATTCTACTTAACTAGTTGAACTAAACTTGTATGGGTCTAGAAACTAACCTGTTTTACCCGACCAATTGAACTAAATTCATGTTGGCCTAGAAAACAAACCGTTCTACTTGACCAGTTGAGTTAAACTCATGTTGGCCTAGAAAACAACCCGTTCTACTTAACCAGTTGAACTAAATTCGTGTTGGCCTAGAAAACAACCTGTTTTACCCGACCAATTGAACTAAACTCGTATTGGCCTAGAAAACAACCCATTTTACTAGACCAGTTGAGATAAACTCGTGTTGGCCTAGAAAACAACCCGCTGGGGCCCGCTATGCCAAAAGCGAGAGAAACCCCATCCCTCTCTTTCCTTTTTTCGCCGCCGACATCGAGGTGTCAAACCTTCCCGTCGATGTGAGCTCTACTTAACCAGTTGAACTAAACTCGTATCGGCCTAGAAAACAAACCGTTCCTAGGTAGAACAGGAAAAGGAAGGGGGTAGAGAGTGCGTAAAGAAGCATCATAAACATTGCAAATTCAGACAAGAAAAAGACAGAACAATAAACAGAGTTCAAATTGCTATAATTAACAGGAGTGATAATTACAATGCCCAACCAAAAAAGATAGCAACAGCAACAACAGCAGCAGAAGCATTGTACAAAGCTACCTCAGTTTCTCAGCCAAAAAAAGCCTCTTCTTTTATCACAATTTACCCTCCATCTTCTACAAGCACTGAGCTTCAGAAACAGAATCCCAACAAATGTACAACACTCCATGACCCTTCTCTATACCCTCACCTCTTTATTTACTATGTCCAATAAACAGAATAAATAAATAAATAAATAAATAACCGACAAAAACAACATGGCCAGCTAGTCAGCTAGTCGGCCAGCCAACTGACCATCGTTTACGCATCCTAAACCTTTACCCAAAATGAAAATTAGGAGTGAAGATTTCGATACATCTTCATCTTTGATAAGTTTTTCTTTCCAGATAGACCTCTGCCTAAACTCTTTACAAAACAGTACTTAAGGAAAACAAATATTAGTCATGCTTTCTTACCAAGTTGAAACAAAGACTAGATGAAGCGCTCTCGTTTGTTTGTAACCAGTTAGTTCGATTTTCCAAGTACTACAAGGACTTTCTTTCCGTATGGGCTCGTCCTAAGTACAGGCGCATGCAGCTTTATTGCTTCCACGAGTTTAGTATGAAGAGTACCCTGCAGCGGGAAAACATTGATCTAATTGCATTAGAAATCAGTTCGACAATCACCTATAAATGTAAACACTAACGCTTCCATAAACCTTCATTTGAAATAGAAAAGTGAAAGAACATTCAGATGCCGTAATATTTAAGAAAAATCGACATTTTGCATTCAAATTTCCACAACACCAAAGTGTTATGACCTTCGAGTAGAAAAGGAGGTGTCCAAAACTAACTGCAAAAAAAGACTCTATTGCTAAAAGGACAAGACTGAGATCATAATTACGTCATGATTACAACGGCCATGAGGCATACATTTTCGGTCGGAAAGAAACTCAGTTATAGTTGGAGGGCTTTTTTGTAACCTGATTAGCAGAATTCTCAAGATTGTAGTTGGTATGACATAGCAACATGGGATGTGTAGTGTTTTTCATGATGTCTGACTTTTGTTCTAACTTTTCAAGATATAAATTTGAAGAAGTCACAGGCACCATTCGACAACAGAAGGTGTCAAAGGTGTTAAAAGTGGTACCTACGTTCCCTACACAAAAAAAATTAACATCCTAGACTTTCACACATTCCTCATACATATGAACACAGATACCAAAAAGAGAAGGGAAATATTGGCCTTGCTAACCTTTGTACTGCCCAATGCAGTTTGAATTGCATAATTGCCATATGGGTCCTGCATGATTTTATCAAATCGCTGATCATTGATCAATTCGAGCACAATTTTAGAGATATCTCCGCATTCCCTTGCAGATTCAAGGCATTTTTCAACAACATTACTACTATACTTCTGCATGGCCAAGTCACCAAAACTACCCTCTAACTGTTTGACTATAGCTTCCGTATACCATCGACGCTTAAGCCTTAGGATGAATTGCACAACATAGTTCCTGCATATAATATAATTTAGTGAAATATAACTTGTCAGTTCTAATCCATAGTCCCAAGTCAACTCCAATATTCATATTGGAATTGGAGTTGAATATATACATCTCCAGAATGTAGCCATTGTAAGAAAAATCACGAATTTTGTATATGTTTTGGGGTTCACAATGTCACAATCGCCCCTCTTCGAGACTTATAAAGCGATTGTGCGGCACTTACTCAAGCCCTTGAATAAGTTAACCAACTGAAACGGCTTTAAAAAACAGGGTTAGAAAATGTTTTTAGAGAACGTTTTGGAAAGCATTCTGAGATAGCCAATTTTATGCACTAGCAAGCAATAAGGAACCAGAAAAGCATTGATAACATAGAGCCTAGATAGGAAATTTTGATAATTTGTTGTATCCCCTATCGTATATTATGAGGCAAATTGTGTATGGTAAACTTGCATATTAAAAGTCATACGCTTACAAAAGAAGGAAATAAAATGAACATACAAAAGAAGACATATAATGAAAAATGAATAAAAAGGTTGGTACGGCCATGCAGCCATGAGCAAGGCATAAGAAGGACCATGACCCACCGGATTGGTAACAAGTTGAAATTATCCAAGCATCTACAAAGCAGTTTATCTCACATGAATTATTCAGTTATATGAAAGCAAAAAAAAAAGAAAACAAAATGCTCTCGAAGTAGTCAAATACAAATGAGAAAAGACATTAGAAAAGAGACCGATTAAATTTAGAAATTTGGAAATTCTAAAAGGGTCCAGCATGATCT